TGTTTAACCTTCACTGTTGGAGGAACATTGTAAAAGACAAGCCTATATGCTCCTCACATTCACGCTCTGATGGACGAAAAACAAGCCGAAACGTTAGCTGGATAAAGCTGATGACATTGTGGTCTGGCTTTGTCAGTCAAAAGAATTATCCAAACATGCTAAGATTTACGGAGATTCGTTCATAGGATATCATGCACCATGTACTAGCCAATTCATGGAACAAAATGCATGCTCAAACATAATCACCTCTAATGTATCTTCACCCAAATGTGTCCATGAATTCTCATTCACATGCGCACAAATATTGAGTCCATTGGCTTTAATGAGATATTCAAAAGTAACCGATGATTGTTTAGTTACTGTTGACCGAAGTTCAGTTTTTTTCGCTTCTGCGATAACGTCTATTTCAAATAGCACCTTCGTATACTTCCATGACTAAAATGAAAATCGCAATTTCCTTAAAGTGACCCCTACCCAGAGTTTTATCCCATCTACATATATTACATGCAACAATCGTTTTGTAATGATACGGGTCTTGTCGTTCCATTCAAAAGTTCATAAACCTTCCGCAAGCGGATTCCACATCATCGCGTAGAAGAATGTAGCAGTTGTCGCTGAAGCAGTTGTATCTTGTTTTTCTAGCAGGATACACTGTGCACATTTGTGAGCTCTACATATCGTGACATAGGCTAGTAACTAGTATGTATGAATTTAAAGTAAATATCAGTTGAAATTACTTTATATACGATGTAAGGGCATCTTTGCATTTTGGCCAACTAAACATGCTTTTCCTGTTCATGTTTCGCAGACTTGTAACCACGGTTGAGCGTGGGGTCAGGCGCGCCCGACCTGGGGGATCGTACGTACTGAGGTTAGACTGAGGGGGGGGGGGTCGTAATTAAGAATCGAGTTTGTTAAGTTGGGGAGATACTGCGAAGGTGAAGAAGAAATGCGCTAGTCCGGTGGATATCGCGATTACATGAAGGAATGGCGGTCATAAAGAGCATGCTGAATGTTTGTACAATGGAAGTTTCAGCCAAAATTCAAATCATCTCTTTTACCTTGACATATGAGGTCGACAAGGGAGGTCGATAAGGAAGTGCTGTGTGAAATGGGTATCATTTCCATAACCAGCATGTCAAATTACCTCTATGCGCTTCAAACCATTACCTACTGCAGTTTCTAGTGTTCCTCAACGTCTAAAAAGTGTGATTTTCAAACGTGATCAACTTGGTTTCAGAAGTGAGAAAAGTCAGCTTTTGTATATTCATAACAAAGTAATGTTCTCTATAAGTCTATGTTACAAATCGGGCTTCATATCGCTTTCAAACAGTGAAGTAAGAAGTGCTGCCAAGATTCCAACCGGCGCGTTTTTCATGTTGAGTGCCTCAACTCCTCGGATTAGCACAAGGCCGAAACAAGTCGAATCAAGTTCAAACATTTACTGTGGAATTTTCGAGGGTTGAGCTAGCGAATCACATAAAATTTGCGTAGTAAAGCTTTTTCGGAAATAGAGTTAATGGGGTCAGGCGCAACCCCTCGAAAGGTCAGGCCGCCTGAGCCTCTTAACATGCCTTCAAGATCTAAAAATCGCCCCTATATTACGCAAAGCCTCTTCTTGCTATATTGAAAACTTGGAGCCAAACACTCCACCCCTGTGAAAATTATAGCACTGAAAAGAGGACTATCCAGATCTAAAACTTGCCGTCAAGTTGCGTGTGATTGTGCAATCGCAGAAAGTCGGGCCTACAGACTTTAATAGAAACCTGCAGTGAAGGCTGGTCTTCTTTAAAATATAACAGGACTGAGGACTTGGCGGTGAAGCGGAGGGTCGTTTAGGGGCTTTCACAGGGAAGGGGGGTCGTTTCTGAAGGACTTGTGCCTGACCTCTTGCTCAATCCTGCCTGCAACTCTGGGATTTTGCACGGAAAGATACCATCCATTCTCTGACTAAGAGACGCGAGCACGCATTGTGTACGTATCATCAACGAGTTCTAACGCGTTTTGGTTAATTACTATCACAAATTCGTGAAAGAACGTGTTCAAGCCACCGTGGATTAACGAGCTCAAACATGTTTTTCCACGAATTCTAATTGTAACTCAACCCAAACGCATTAAAACTCATTCATGAACTTGTTAGTGAGATGTACGCAAAGGGTGCTCGCGTCTCTTAATCAGAGAATAAATGATACGTGATGCAGGTGAAACCTGTATAAACTCGTCTTTGCTTGCACTACATGAACAGTTAAACGATATCAAGGTTCAAGATGCTATGTGGAACATATTCTGTTGTTTCGAAGTTTCTGCTTTGCTCTGTCTTCAAAACTCCCAGAACACTGACCGACAAAGGGCTCGGGTAACATTTGATTTAAACTTTTATTCTCTCTCTCTGACAGCTGCACTTTTGCTCTGATTTACGCATTCATCGCAATGCTATGACCATGGCTTTTTAAGCAGTCACACCAAACTGGCTACATTGGCTACAATTAATCTATCTTTGATATCCTAGATCAAGTTTTTGAAGTCAGCAATGATTGCTTGTTTGGGGGACCTCAGCTTTTTGAGCACAAGTAGCGCAAAGATGTATTCAAAATTCCCAAAAGCTAACTCTCCAAAGCAGATGAAGCTTGTTGCTGACTGCCATAAGCATTGTTTCGCACAAACAATGCTTATGGCAATCAATTTTCAGTCCGTCGAAAATTTGTAAGCTTTTATCTTTTCACTGCTTTCGCGTTTCGTAATGTCACAAAAATGATCATTTTTTGAGCAATATTTCTGTAAAGCTCCAAACAGCATTTCAAGAGAGATCTAGGGTAAGTATAGTCCCAGATTTGCCCTATTTGTATTAATACCCACTTTCTCCGAAGATTGGAGATAGAAATTTCAGTTTCAATAGAAATTTGCCTAATTTTGAGCAACTACATAGAAATGATAGGTGAAGAATTTTGACAATTATTAAGATGCGTTCAAGAAATTATAGTTCACAAATGTATTTCCCAGAAAGAGAAGAAAAAGCCGCAGCGAACGCATGTTTATATGCATTTGAGCCTTCATTATATGACGTTTTAAGTCATTGCAAAAAAAAATGGAGACAACTTTCAGGACAACCTGACTATATTTCTGGCCTGAAAAATTTACAAGCAACAAGTCAACGGATTCGATTTTTTTCTACTTTTTTGCACAATAGTTCAGGTATCCAATTTAAAGCTTGCTTGATAACAAATGCACAAATAAGTCTTCAAAGGAAGATCTCATATGATTAAATTATGCAAGCTGTTTGAGTACTATGTCTGCTGCTGAAAGCTGTCTGCTGTCTGTCCGACGGCTACCAAAGTGATTTCAGCCAAAAAAATGCTTTAAGTGTCTGCTACAGATTCGAAGCATCTGCAGCGTTATATGCTTGCAGCTGCAAGCGATAACAGCGACAAAACAGTTTTTGATGTTTTTTTTGTTTCGTGCACTTTTCTGTGAAAGCAAAGGAAGATTTGCTAATCGAATCTTATCTCCTGTTATGAGTGGTTCAGATAGTGAGCTTTGTGCACAAAGTCCGACGTAGCTGATGTCCTCATAACACTTAGCAAAACACTCGCTTTCGTTTCGTTTATAGGTGGAGAAACGGTCGAATGGCGCGTATTGTTCGGCTGTTCTAACAAAGAAAATTTCAAAAAGAGTTCACATCTATCTTGTTTCTTACGGATCTCAGTTATGTGATCCTCCTCTGTACTCTCTCTTATACTGACAAAATTTTCGGACTATGAAAATCTTGCTTCTGTGGAGTATGAGTCCATTCTGGCAAGAGCGACCGCCGAAACGCACGCCATTCGACATAAACCCTTATAAGTGTACGCATTACAATTAACAACACGACGAATTGTCTCCACTTTGTCAAAAATACACGATAGAATTTGTTTAGTCTAAAAACAAACATCAACAAGAAACCAGCAGATTTAGCAAATGAACAAGAAATAGAAAGACGGTTAGCCACTTCATGCTGTGTACCCTGTGGCACAAATCCTATAAAGTAACGGAGATTTTGGACTTGAATAACATTAGGAATAATCATTTCTAGGAGATTTGAAATATGCTAATTAGATGTCCTTGGTCGTTAACTTTGATCAACAACTCTATAAAAATTATTGGTGGATTTCTCCAAATGGAAAATATCTTTTGCATAGATCATTTGAGTTCCATATAGGTATAATGCATAAGAACGTGTCATTTTGCTTTTCCGCAGCATAGACTAGCAATTGATAGATACATTAAGTATTTAACGCATCTTCTCTTCCGCTTTCGAGAGTATTGGAGAACTGATTTGCGATGACCGTCGAAATGATCGCTAATCTCGAGGTCCTCATACCGGTATCTAACTTGTTGTACTGAGATGTTTTTTCCAGAATATTGATAAGTTTGATGACTAGGATGAAACAAAACTTTGCAAGCGTCATTTTTCCTGCATTTTTATAATTCTATCCGTCGTTCGCGGAGAGCAACGCTGTCGCGTCCATCGGAGATAGTTCATGACTGAAAGAGGCGCAGAGAAAACAAGCAGCGAGAGTGTACGAGAAAATAAGACTGACTCGCAGTACACACTTTGCGCACTATCCGCGCCCTGCGCGGACGGCCTATATAAGGTTTCGGGATTTTACTGATAATTTTAAGAGTATGTCTCTTCATAAAAAAGCGTACTGTAGTTACCACCAAAAACGAAATCTAACAAAGGTCTTACTCAGTGCCAAACTGTTATTGATTGCAAAGTATAGACCAATCGTCGCAAAGAAAAATGTGCAGAACAAGAGATGAATCCTTCACCACCCAATTTATGGGTGTTAAGACCGTTCGTAGAACTGGTCATATAAAAAAGTTTTCTCGAAAGTCAGCCAAGTGGAGCTAGAAAATGCACAGCACTAAAATGCTCTAACCCGTCATCAAGTACTAAATTCCCCAAGATTCCAGAATGAAAGCTTTGAGAAGCCGAAGTTCAAAGTCAAATGCGAGATTTAGGTTTTTGGCGTTGGAGCGACCGTCAGAAGGACACAGTTTGTAAACTTAGCAGGCTCAATAAAGTTGTAAAGAAAACGGACTCTTGCATCAACCTGTTGAGGGTGTCTCGAAATTTGTCACTAACAGAACACTATTGATTCTTCTTTCAGATTCGTGGAGCTTGGGGGCTATTTTGAGGGTTGGAAACTCAAATTTTTATTGGATCACGGATTGCTTTTTACAAATGCATTTTACGGTAGGCTTACTTGTACAGCAGCAACTAATTCGAAAGTTTTCAAAATTGATATTTATTAAGGGAATTTTTCAAGTTCGTTTAAATTTATGTTAAGATATTGTGATTCAGAAAAAAAAACCTTGTACGGATTTGTTGAATGATATTGCAGTCCTAATTTCGGTCTTCTATTCAAATGTAGTCTGACTGATCTTCTAGTTCAGAGATTACTGTGATGCGTAATATTCATTTTTGAAATCAGGTAACCTATTTACTGTGTAGCAGCTCCACAGATTGATTTGAGCTGACAGCTGCTTGAAGAACGGAAAAGCGAAGCTGACCTACCCTATCCTAGCAATTGAAGATGAAGGCTATCAATGGTCTTATCTTGCCTGTTTCAGGTTTTCCATGTTGGAACTTGTGTAGACCAGTTCTAGGTAGCACGCAGTCTACCCTTTGCTTCATCCTGTTGAAGCAAAGGGTAGACTGCGTGCTACCTAGAACTGGTCTACACAAGTTCCAACATGGAAAACCTGAAACAGGCAAGATAAGACCATTGATAGCCTTCATCTTCAATTGCTAGGATAGGGTAGGTCAGCTTCGCTTTTCCGTTCTTCAAGCAGCTGTCAGCTCAAATCAATCTGTGGAGATGCGCACGACTTGCCAGTGCGATCGGCTCACCTGCCGCCTTGTTTCTCAGTTTGGTGAAGTAAGTGACCGTGGATTTAGGATCGCAAAGTCATTCTTCTATTCAGGTTTCAAAGCTTCTGAGGCCAGTTATGTTGAATATGGCGATGACATTGACAGCCTGGATCTATGTATACAAAATGAAAACCGATGATCGGCTTTCAGCAATGTTTCTTATGAGTGGAAATAGCACCACTGGTAACAAGTATCACGACGGAATTGTAAGTGACCTATCAAACATTCACACATGAAAATTCCACAAATATAACTACTGTATCGCTGTTATGCGCAAATTCGTACGTAGTCAGTAATCAGAATCTTGATCAGTAAATCACATTGCTCAAATGTGAAGGAAATCTGTTACATTCGCGTCGCATCGCTATATCTCATCTCAGTGGGAGATATTCTTGATCTGGAAGTATCGCTTAAATCAGCTAAACCCTGCTTTGGTTTCTACCAACTGACAAGGTACGGATGTGCACTCTAGGCAGTCAGATATCTGCAGCACCCAAGGAAATACGTGTCATTGTAAGCACATAAGGCGATCTATTCAAAAATCGGAGAGCATCTTTGAAAGCTGACTGATTTGTCTACCGCGCATCTACCGTACCCGTACAGACATTTGTGAACAAGAAAAGGTTCTTGGCGTTTATTGTGAACTAAATGACGGCTTTGCACTGACTAATTAATCAATTAACTTCTTTGGTTACCAGTTTACCTGTGTTACCAGTTGTTATTCGTGTTGACCGCGTTACCAGGGTTACCCATGGTCAGTGTTACTGGCGTGACTAGTGTTACCCGTGTTACCCGCGTTAGTATTGTTACTGTCACTCACCAATCAGTGGGATTACATTTGAAAATGAAACTGTATTGGTGATCATTTCACTACTCAACAACAGCAAAAGCGGGAAAGGATCCGTCAGAATTTACCGATGTCATCAGTGTTACCCGCGTTACTAGGGTTACTCGTCTACCACTGTTACTAGTGTTACTCGTGTTACTAGTGGTGCTCGTTTACTATTATCAGTGTTACGTGTTACTAGTGTTACCGCTTTTATTCCTGTTGAGTATGATCACTAATACATATAATTATTTCACTACTCAACAGCAATAAAGGCAGTAACACTAGTAACACTAGTAACATTGGTAACACCGGTAAACTAGTAACACTAGTAACAGTGGTAACACTGGTAACACGGGTGACACGAGTAAAAGTAGTAGCACGGGTAACACTGATAATATCGATAAACTGTGACGGTTCCTTTACTTAGTAACAAGAGTAACACTTGCAACATTGGTAAACTGGTAACACTGGTAACACGAGTAACACTGGTGATGTATGTCAAAGCCTTATTTGACACACAAGAATGCATCAAAACAGAAAATGGAAAGAAAAAACAACGCAGAACAATAGGACTGGATCACTTGGTCCCTTGCTGGAGGGATCAGGTTGTTCTCCTTCTCCAAGAAGCGAGTGGAGCTCTTCCAAGATATTTTCCTTACCCGAACGCGGTTATAAGAACACTTTACCGTGGCTCGGCTGACCAACTTAACCCGGGGCGGTAGAATCGTCACGGAACCTGGGCGAACGAGAAGGGAGGACCTCTAGGTAGCTAACTAGTTTTCAATTCTCGAACGGCTATATCAAGGTAAGAAAACTTTTGTAAACCATTCAAAAGATAGTGATTTGTAGAAAAATGTAAGTCAACATGCAAAATGCCACAATAAGCACCAAAATATCTTCAACTTCATCATCACTACTTCATTCGTCCACATCCTTCATTCCGGATTCGTCCACTCTGGAGAAAAATATGGCAAATGTTGCAAGCTCCAGCGACAAAAGTCTTTTTCACAAATTGTGAACGGGTTCTGCTGGGAATGCACTATTCGACGCTGATAGGTTGAGCATTTTCAAATTTTGAGGACTTTTGACGTTGATATCAAAAAGGGGCTTGGCAACACCTTGCATATTTCGCTCGACCTTCAAAGCGTTCGTAAAACACCGAAAACTTCTAGAAACGCCGTTGCTCGTGATGTTTGACAAATACAGAATGGAAAACTTAGCGATGACTCAAGACTTTATTTTCGAAGCTTTTCTTGTTCAAAATCAGCAGCACAGAATAAGCGTTTAACCATGGTTTTCCGTAGTTTCATTCACAATTTACAGATCAACGCCTTTAGTGCAATGATTGTGTTGGCGGTTGTGTCTTTTTCCATGTTGCTCTTAGCTTTGTGGGATTGCCGACGCATTGTGCAGCTCTGGCTGCACATGTCCTGCTTACTTATTCTATTTGCAGTATCAGGCGGTTTCTTTTAGTGTGTTTCTGATTGTACTTTTAGTACGTTAGTAATGTTTACATATTTGAACAACTTCAGTGATTTGCTGAAGAGCCTTCGTATGGATGAGGAAAAGATAATATACGAATGGTTACCTGGACTTGTGACAGCTTATGGAGGTTTCGGATGTATAGTAAGCATTTCATTCTCTCTGAATATTGCGCACTTAGAAGTTGGTCTCCTTTAGGCTTTCTTCTATCATGGCGCTCCTCTTCTACTTCATCAATTCTTCGTTTTGTCTAACTGTAGTCTTGTTTCGCTCTTTTATCTTCGTTCCTTTCCCGGTTACACGGCATGGTTTGTGCTTTGGTGTGTGGCTCTTTGGGGTGAGTGCTTTAGGTCCAGATGGTGAATTCAACAAAGTATTTCGCTACGCTCTAGTGCGTGTCAGTAGGTAAATTTTTCCGCATTTTCTCTGAACGGTTTAGAGCCATATATATAGACAGCGTTTGGCCTCAATGTTCAAGAGAATTGTTGAGCACTCAATCTTCTCTATGGGAATTCTCGAATGCAATAGAAATTCTATATGGGATTAGCTATAGAAACACTTGACACTGTACGACAGTGGCTTCTTTGTTGTATTAGATCGACCGCGCCCATCCTACTCGTTCATAATATCTTGCAAAGTTTAGAGAAGTTCACGTAGCACATGGTTTTTTTTGTCAGGGTATTGTTTCACATATTCAAAAAAGTCAGCTGGGCAATGTTCCTGATGCGACAATTTTCATGCATATTTATCAGCGTCAAAATGGTCTTTCTCTAAATACAATCAGCTTGTTGGATGGGAAACGTGTCTTTTCAAAAAAAAATGCTTCGAAGTGAACGCGTGGTCGTTCTTGATAGGCAAGCAAATCTGGGTGTCTATTGAGGAAAGCCGTTGATCCACTATCAACCGTTGCCAAGAGGCAGCGCACATAAATTCGTGGTCAAAAAATCTACAGTCGGCAGAAACTAAAAGGGCCTCCAAAGATTTTATGAAATCTCAACAGCTTCTACCTTTCTAATCACGGAAATCTGCAGAGAATTGATAGTGGCTAGGCCTATAAAGTTTTACGATGCTAGGTTGTAACTATACCAAATTTGGAAATCATCTCGACCTTACAAATAAGAACACGTCACGCACAAAGAACACGTAACCGCTTGCAAAAATTCAAGACCCGAACACTCGCCCTCCCTCCCACACCTCCCCTCGTTTCCATTTGTATTCACATAGTAGCCGAGAAACCCAAATTTGTTTTTGATTTTACCTTTAAATTCTACGAAAAAATACACTCGGCAGTGGGTTCAAGAAATTGTTTTCGAATAGGGGCAAAGGGTTTTTTTGGAAGAGGTATAGCTTACGCCATGTCATACATGCTTTCAAGAGAAGACTTCAACGTTTTTCATAATACTAGCCAGCCTGTAACCTCCTTTCAAAAAATAGGACATGGCGCCCCCTAGTCAAATGGAAAACGCAAAGTGCTTGAGTGGACGTGCATGTATACAACTGGTCAACTGGGTCCGCCTCGGCTCTGGCAGATTTCGACTGTCCGCCGGAGGGGTCCGATCGACTGTCTGAATACCCTAATTGCACGCGTACAAGGTGCGGGGGATTTTTTTCCAAAGTCGACCAGCCCAAACACGCCAAAGGACTTTGCAACCAAAGAACCCTATGCGGTGCTGTATATTGCTTGAGAGAATCGTACGGCATAAGGATCGCTTTGCAAAGTACAGTGAAGCGGCTGAGGGACTGAATTGAGAAATCGAAAAAGATGCGCCTTGTACGCGTGAAATTAGGGTAATTCTACCCTCAAATTATGCGCTAAGAATACCTTTGGTTTGAAATTTCTCACTTTATGTTCTAACACTGCCGGCCGATGACCATGATTGTTCATTATTTCAGCGATTGCTTGTGGATTTTCACAAACAGTTACAGGTTACCGCATGCTTTGAATATCATTGCCTTTGTATTAGGCTGGAAACTAAGTTTTGCAACTCACTAAATAATCTTGCTCTCATATAGTATGAAGCACTCAAATTTTGCCAGTATGTTGTTTATAACGTAAGCTACAAGCATAGCTGCTGTTTCGCCAAGATCTGACGTCGCAGTGAGGGTTACAGTAGGTATATGGTATAAATGGGAAAATTGCAAATCATTACGAGTTTGGCTGAAACTTGGCGTAGGAGGGTTTTCCGACACGCTGATCACGAATAACATGTTAAATTTGCATGGTAAGGGCTTTTTTGTAAGATTACTGTAGTTCAACGGTATGAGGTCTCGCCTCAAACAATAGAAAAGACTTTAATTTAGATTTTAGACAAACGAAAATGATATTCGTGTTTAGCAGGTCGGATAACCTCACTATGTGAAGTCTCCGCAGATTTTGAGGTTCCCACTCCTCAGTCATCAATGGTGGTACCCACCAGCCTTGGGTACTTCAATTTTGTGAGGGCGCTAGAACTCGACTTGTCTTTCAAATATATTCCTTTCCTACTGAGCCAAATGAGTCAACCTCAAGCAATAATTCACATAGAGTTTCTGATCATAATACATGATGTGGGTTGCGAACGGTTTCATTTTCGCTTAAAACCTCATAAATCCTCGAAATTTACTCTTTTTGGAAAAATGCTTGTAATTTTCTTATTTCGTTCTCAAGAATTAAACGGTTTATGCAAGATTGTAGAACACATTGAGTTCTACATGTAGCCGCAGTTTGAGTGCACCATGTTCAAAGAGAGTTAAGATATGAAAGCAGTTGCAAAACTTAGTTTCCAACCTAATATTTCAGATATCTTTGCTGTTCTCGCCCCAATCGGACCACTGCGTAAAGTTCAAGAAAAAGCGGGTGACTATAGCCACGATGTAAGCACTAATCTTTTGGAAAAAGAAATATCGTAAAACTGAATAGAATCATGGTTTTCCATTAGGTTCTTCGATTCCTAATGTTCACCGCTGATGCGAAACAGTCGCCTGAAATCGAAGGAGAACCTGCGGCTCGCGAAGAAGATTCCTCCTCATCATCGGAAGAAGATGATGAAGGTGGGGAAGAGAAAACAGGAGAAGGTGAGGATAAGCAAGAAGCGACAGCTGCCGCAGTTCCTGCTGTCGAGAATCAGCCTCCATCTGACACATCTTCGTTCACGCTCACCACCGAGGATAGCGAGGTGATATGCTTATTCATAAAATGTTTGTTTTTTCATCTTACTGTAGGTATTTAGGAAGATTCTGAGCCTGAGCCAGAGGAGCAGAAGCCATTGCTCAGGAGGCGAGTGCGGCAAGCTGCAGGTGCTGATCGAGTAGAAGACCTCGAAGAAATGGCAAGAGAGAACAAGAGAACCACACACAAGAATATTGTTGAGAAAAGATTGAAGAAAGACAAGAATAGTGATCTCAGCTCAGATGACGAAGTTTCTGTTGAGATGGAACAAGAAACACATGAAGTGCCTGTCGCAGTTCAAAATGATAGTGGAGATCTATGGGATCAAAAATATCATATTGATGACAAAGAAGCTTTGAGTATGGTAAGTATGCTTGTAAAATTGTTTCAAAACGCTAAAGACTAATTTTTCATTCGCAACACGAAAAAGTTCTTGAAAGTTCTTCGTCGTCACCATCTGGAAGCAGTTATGAAACTTCTACTTCTTCACTCGGTAAGGAAGTTACTGTCATTTTTCCTGAAGATCTTGACAGCAGCACTTCAAATATATCAGCTCGCAACTCAAGTTGTATCGCAGTTTTGTTGGAAATTTGAATGATTTTCCCCATTTTTTGTTATGTAAATAATTTACCTTTCTGTTATATGCATTTCGCGATTGATAAATCAGTTTTTGAATTTTCAAAAAATTTTCTCTAGCTAACTTCGGCAAATTTCAACTCACGCCATTGAAGCAGACCTTAGAACAGTTAACTCCGTTCATTATATCCATAAAAAGCTAAAACGATGAAAGGAAGAATGAAGGATTGAAAGATAGACTAGAGGTTATGCCTTTAAGTTGCCCTTATCTTGTTGTGACCATGTTAGTGAAGGTAAAATGAAGTTTGTGATGTTTCTAGAGTTTTCCAAAGGAACACAAAAGAAGTGTAACAAAACTCATGCTCTCCGAGCTAGTAGATAGTTCTCACATTATTTCAGAAGACGGAGAAGACGCTGATGAGGCTTCTGTAACAGCTGCCGATGCCCTGAATGATGCCAGTGAGTCCTACAAACATTCTAATAGATAATAAGAGAAAAGCAATTTTCTACTGAATATTCTTGATTATATTAGGTCGTTCCGAAAGTGATGTCGCTTTTTTCAAACGTATGCCACATCTCGCGGAACAAAGATGTATTAGAGATTCTGGTACCATTTAATGCAGCATTTCATTCTCTTTCTAATGGTTATAAAGTTGTTGCAATACATTTAATGAGCTTCCAGAAAAGAGTCAGAATCTGCGACCTATGCTTTTTGAAATGGCCAAGTTTCACAATTTTTCTAAAATTTTATATTGAACCTCAGAAGGAGTCCAAGTAATGGATGGATTGAGCAAACCATACCGAGAACAGCACAACTTTTTTCTACTTTCCAGAGCTCGTCATAATTTTTGTACAGATTTTTTGATGGAACAACCGAATTTTAGTAGGCTCGCCTCAGACACAAGTGCATCAAACGCCAACAAGTCTTTGGATTTTGAAACTTACAAAGATGGATTATGGTTTCGCAACAATTTTACAAACTAAACGAGCATTTACCGCTTCGATTTAGCAATTTTCGAAAACTTCGGGTACACCTTGGGGCGCCTTGCAAAAGTTGAATTATGATGATTTTATCCCGGAAAACTTGATGAATCGGAAACAAACAACAACCGTTAGAAAGAGGGGAAAAAGCTGCATCGAATGACACCCGAGTCGCTTGCAGGTTGTTGTTCTATGAGGTTTGACTTGACTGAATATGGAATTTGATGGCATTGAGAAATTGATTGTAGAAACTCTGAGAAACAAGCTAAGGAAAAGAAAAAATTACTCTATGTTCTATAGTGTTTGCTCTATTTATCTGTCATTTGTACTTTTTCGTAGATTAGGTACAAAAATTTAGAAAAATAGCCGAACTTGACCATGGCAAAAAGCATAAGTCGCACATTTTGGTAATTTTTCGAGAGCTCGTTAAACGTTATGCAGTGAAATTAGAACCATTAGAAAGAGGATGAAATGCTGCATCGAATGCTCCTAAGATCTCTTGAAAATGTTGATTCCACGAATAGTGGCGTTCATTCGAAAAAAGCGACATTACTTTCGGAACGACCTAAGATCAGAGAAATTTCACGGTACTAACAAATTGCAGATTCTCTACGCCTTGGAATGGGAGATTTTGTGTTCTACAGCGTCCTTGTTGGCCAAGCTGCTACGACAGGTGGTGCAATTGATTGAGCATTTCAACTTGTATTACTACTAGGAAAACCACCAGTTTTTAAGAAAACATTGGAGCAACGATTGCTGCCGCATTGGGTGTAGTTTATGGCTTGCTAGTAACGCTCACATACTTCAGCAATGGTGAGCGATCCACTCAGTTTTAAAATGAATTCGCTATCCATTTTAGGTGATGAAACCACGCCGGCCCTTCCGATATCCATAGTACTTGGCACTGTATTCCATTTTGGCTACTTGTTATTCGAGCCATACTTCATGCATTTCATGGACGTCGTTCTCCAATTCCTATTAGACGAGTTTTCCTAAAGAGTCCCGTTGCCCGCATTGAGTGTTGTTCCTTTTCTGTGAAGTAATATGCGTTTCTTCGGTCACTGCTACGTCTATACTGGTTCTAGGTTGCCGTCAGTGACCTTAGTTTTGTTTGTAAGCGATCTGCTTTCTGATAAATTTTTTCGAGTTGCCTTTATACATCAAGTACATGGGAAGTAAATCTTGCCAAAAAAAAACAGTTGAGAACTAAATTCTTGGAACAAGAAATACAAATCTTGAAGGACGACCCCTCTCAAGAAATCACACCATCAACATTTAAATGCCCAAAGTTTGTGCAGCAGCTACAGAAATTAGAGCCTAAAGTCGTACAATGTCGGAAAAAACTGACCATTTGATGACACTTGAAACAAGATGTATTTTAGAGACGGCAAAGTTGCGCACAGCCTCACCAAGATCAAACACTTAGTTGAAAACCTACGCTTACCACCAGTTTCATCGTAGCCGGGTGCAGCTATAAAAGGAACTTTACTTATACACGGTTCATGAAACGCAAAGACTGGGCGTCGTTGCGTACGGCCAAGATAGTTTGTGCATAGGAGAGACAGCATATAGTAAGAGAAACGAAAGAGCGCTCGATCACAGGGACGCCGATATGTCCGCAGTCTTTGCGTGCTATATGTTGTTTCATATTGCCGCACTGACTGCAGCAGTCTGCAGCTGACCGCACTGACCGCAACGGCCTCGCAAATCGCCGCATTTTTTCGTAAAAGGGAAAACAATTGCGAATACCAAAACACCGTGATTTACGCCTAGAAAGTTATAGATTCTAAGTTACTCTTTTCAATCAAATTTTGTCAATTGTTCTTCTTTAATATGCTCATATTTGCTCTAATCGCTTTTGTCATTGCGTATACCTATTTTACTCTCGCTCGTGTTGCCTTTTGGGGCACATGTTGTTAAGAAAGTGTTTGGGCTACGACTATTTATCCTTTCCACCTTTACGAAAGGATGCAGCGGTCTCTGCGGCCTGTGGTTAGTGCGGTCAGCTGCAGCCTGCTGCAGTCTGCTGCGGTCAATGCAGTCAGCTGCAGCCTGCTGCAGTCCGCTGCAGTCAGCTGCGGTCAGTGCGGCAGTCTGAAACAACCCTATGAATTGCCTGTACTTAGATACTTGTAAGGAGAGCTGCGGCCTTTTGGTAAAAGGCATATACGTTCTGAATCAGCTTCATACGCTGATTCCAAATATGCTGTTCCTAGCTGCCAAGCACCATTCCGAAGCGAATTATGGGCTTTTTCCTACGCAAAATTGGTATACTACTGGACATGAGAAGACTGCCTGTAGGTAAAAATCTACAGGAAAAAGGTGCTGATGTATCGAAATAGTACAAATCTAATCTTTTCTCACTAAAAGAGCTTAACGCAGGTGTATCAGCATTTGAATGATGATGACCTAGGAGCCTAGGAGTCGATGAGCATGCCAATTTTGCGCAGGAAAATAAAAATTGCCCTAACTTGCTTCGGAATGGCGCGTGGCAGCTAGGAATAGCTATTTGGAATCAGCGTTTGAAGCTAGACTATATATGTCCCTTGCCCAAAAGCCGAGTTAAATTAGTAGCTTTCCTGTTAGATTGTCCCTCTTCACGTGGCATGCGGGTCCCAGCACAGAAGTTGCACTGATCACCGTCCCTCGCCTCAGAGACATCCACGATCTTTTTGACTGACGTCGGTGGCTGCGTCCACGAGTTCCAAGTGCAAAAATCGTATCCAGCTGATTTCTCAGCTGGTCCAACCGTTCCACGAACACGTCTACCCATCTCGTTGGAGGTCTTCCTCGGGGACGTTTTGCTTTGCGAGGAATCCACAGAGCGCCAGGAGAACGGTTGAGTCGAACAGGTGGGCACGAAGCTCCGGGTCCGTCTGTTGGTCGGTAGCTTCCTTCAGAGGCCCGAAGGCGGCTCAGGCTGCTCTTCTTCTCCTGTTAAGTTCTTCCCTCAAGTCGTTCTCCATGTTCACCGAACGTCCGCGATACACGTAAGAAGACGTCTCCATGATAGGGGTGCCTTCCAGTTCCATTTCTGCATCTTCGCAAAGGACTTTCTTTATGAACTGAGTCTTCTTCCGAGTTATTCGCAATCCGATCTTCTTCCCTACTTCATTCAGTTCCTCCAGCATCGTCTCTGCTTCAGTGATACTGATCGAAAAAAGAACGATGTCGTCCGCAAAACGAAATTTCGACAGGAATCTCCCATCAACTCGTATGCCTCAGTTCAGTGACTTCATCACCCACTGCAAGGCCGCGGTGAACAGCTTTGGCGAGATTGTGTCGCCTTGTCGAACTTCTTTCCCAATTGGGATGGGACGGGCGACGGATTAGCTGCATCATCGTTGTACAGTCTCTGTAGTAGTCGGCGGAGGGCGGTCAGGAGGTACGATTGGCGCGAATTATTCGCGCCGATCGTACCGCCGACGCCGTAACGCACTTCAACCAAGACAGCAGCAGCACTCCTGGTGCAGCGTTACTTATGGCGTCGAGTTATGCATTTGCCCCATTCCACCCCTCTGTTTTTGCCGCCGGGAATTTCTCAAAGCGGCAATTTTGTGGGTCCCCAAGCGCGGCGTGCGCGACAAAGCGGCTGCCGTGCGCGGCGTACCTCCTGACGTACAGCCGTAGTCGGCTACGTCCTCCGCAAGCTAGGTCCACTCCTTGATCGACTAGCGCTGACCGGATGGCGTTGGTTTTGACGCTGACAAAGGCTTTTTCATCGGCGAAGGTGAAGACGAGAGGCAGTCGGTTTTCCCAACAGGCTTCCATGATACTCGACTGAATGTGGCTTATGCTGAATTCTTTGCAAAACCATTTGCTTTTGAGCTGGGCTTTATCCACTGTCTCAAATATGCGAGAGAGAATAATCTTCGTGAAAAGCTTTTACAACACATTCAACAGGCATATTGGGCGGTTGTTCCGAAGATCCTCTTGTTCACCCTTCTTAAAGTTCTTTACTGGTGTAGAATCCTTTCCTTCTGAAGGTGAGATATTAGATGCGACGCGAGAAGACGTATAGACGTTGTTCCCGGCTCGCAGAAGTTCGACGAAAAGGTGGTCTGGTCTTGGAGCCGTTGACATCTTCATGGTCTGAGCAGCGACGCACTTCAGCAGGTAGAATTCGCTATGGTACTTCTCCAGCGGGAAAAACTGCCATCGGAACGGGTTTGATAAACGGAAGAGGTCGGTGTAGAAGTTCTTCGTGAGAGCTTCCATCTTGTTTCGGGAAGGTCGAAGTCCCGTCTTCGTTCGGTAATGGCAGCCAGCGGTACGTGATATTCGCAAAGGTACCTTCGGCACTTCTTAAGACTTCGTCTTCCTTCGGCTGCTTCCAGTTTTTGGCTGGCCTTTACTCCCTGAAATCCTCCTGCAAAACTGCTCTGCAACTGGCGTTGGCTATTATTCGCTGGAGATGAGTTGCACTATCTTGCCTCGGGGATTCTTTTCTTTCGAGTAATTCTTTGTTGGTTTTCGAAATGCGTTCCACGTTCTTCTCAGAAGTCACTGAGCCGTATTATCTGCAGGCTCACAATTCTTTTAGAAGCCGGCCGTAGTCGTACGTTGGTTCCTCCTCGATAGGCCAGTCACAACTTGAGAGCCCTTCTAACCTGTTGCCATCATGAACGGCTTTTTTCCTTTTTGCGGCAGTGTGGCAAACCTTTTTTCAGTTTTCCACTGGATCATATCTTCGCTGGTATGAGGCGGTGATCGGAGCCACTGCAGAAGGATGGAACTACTAAGGCGTGTGTGTGTGTCTGAGAATGGCGCTGCTACCGGTGGCTGCCCCTCCTAACGAGCTTCTCGTGGTTCTAAATGGACTCGTTCGCTCCAGATTTACTGTGGAGTCGCACTAGAAAAAACTGTCAATGTAAATCCAACTGCTCGCGCCTCTTTTTGGACAGCAATGAGCGGAGCGGCTTTAGACGTGCACTCCCAACGCGATATAGACTATTCACAGGAATAAGCGGCTCCTTTATGCGTATGTTCAGGAACTTCTAAAGACGCTCTTGGTTGAATCATATTGTGCAACCAGAAGATAATATGGATTTTGCCAGAAGTTCATGAGCGGATGTGACCGCGTATAGTGACGACAGCTCGCTTATGCTGATGATCAAGGCACGGCGCGGGCAGTTACGTTTTACAAGGCCTGTATGTATAGAGTTTGTATCTGCATTGTTTTCGCTTTTTTCTGTTCAAAGCTGCAAAGCATGTAAGAAAATAGGTGCTCTACCCGGTGTATACAATACTTAAGATGATTTGTAGTGCAGCAAAATAAATCATGTTGTGAAGAAAATCCGATCAAAAGTATTATTTGAATCGAAAGACCGATTCGGTTTGTGCAGAACTTAATAAACGACGATTCTTTCGAAAGAAGTGTGTTGTAGGTATCAACGACCTTTTTTCTTTTTTCATATGCAATAAATTCCATCTTAATATAGAATTTTTGGTTTCTACTTATTTCACTCGTAATTTGATAACAACACTTTTTTATAAGTGTCATCTTTCTATTTTTTCTCACACGAAAAGCTTTCAAATATCTAATTTTGATATAAAAAGGTTGTTTAAGCTAGAAAGTGCTCAGTGTTGGTGGCTTAACTTGTCCTAAATATGCCATCCATCAAGTTCGTGTTCCTGCGTGCACTCTATTCGAGCAATATAGCAATTTCATTTATCATTGGTAATTGGTGCCATTTATGTAGAGGGCCAGCCATATATCTTTTGAGCCGTTTTCCCAGTGTTTCGTTTGCTTTCACACACAAAGTATGGATCTTTGCAACATGTATATTATTTTTTATCCAAATTCTCTCTTTGAAACTGTATGTAAATGTCAAGCAGTAGGTTGATAAGTTGGAATTGCGTTATGAAGTTAGTCATTGAAAACCTCAGGAAGTATACCGACATTATGCTCAATCATATGCAGTCAGTAGACTCTAAAGGAGACATTTTTGATGATATTCCTGTAGTGACGTAATGACTTCATATTGTCTTTCTTCTTTGTCGTCAACGGAAACTTAGGTCATCAAGTTCCAAGAAAATGTGCTTGATATACAGTTTATCAGTAATTAATTCTCAAGTTACGCGACTTTATCTTGCCAAGTCAAAATGCTTTCAGCTCTTATACGGGGAGCTCATACGCTTGCACAATCTTT